ACCGTGTTAACAACTCAAATTCATCCATCTACAGTGACAGGTTTTATAAAATCATATTACAATAGCTCAAAGTCACTTCAGGATAAAATTTTACAATTTTAAATAATTTAGATTTAAGTTGCACTTTTAAGTCTACATGAAATTGTAATGGAGTAAAAATGATATTTTTTCACCTTATAAATGAGTATTCAGCAGTTTTAACAGGACTGAAGTAATGTACAGATTCCCCATAATAATACTTAAGTATTGTAGTGAAATATTCTCAAATAAGGATTCTGACCAGAAATATTAAGACAATTAAAGCAGACCTTCAGTTTATCTAATGGTCATTCGACAGACGGTAATGAGTATTTAACTTGTCATAATGTGCCAGAGCTGTAACAATTAAATCATCTCTTTGACACATTCCTTTTTAGACAGTGGCTAATTGGAAATGGAAATAGACAGAAATGCTATGGTGATTAGCACGTACAAATTTAAACACAAGTCCAATTTCTCTAGCGCTGACACTGACAGCATCGCAAACAATTGACTAGAGAAACCAATGAAATAGAGCTTATGGCTTGTTTTGCTTATCATCAAGCTAATCAATCAACAGCCGCTTTCTATAGCAAGAAGAATTCAACATAACAGCATGCTGCCTCAAGGCAAATATAGCTGATAAGAACCATTAGCTAATGCTTCAAATTAACTTTCAGACCACACAGACATCTCTTCCACCATGAATATTATTCCAGTACAGCGCTTACGATCCTTGACAGCCGAGTATCATAATATATATGGGTCATAGCCCTGCGGACTACAGCTTATTGAACCATGTTTTAGGGCAGGAGCCAGCCATCTCTCAGGACCAGTCAGACTAAAGCTTTTATCCAGCAGTTAAAGATTGTTCTGTATCACATCACTACTTAACAGAAAGAGATCAATCCCACAATATTAAATAAACTCTGGCGGGACAGACAGCAGGCTGCAGGAATGAGTCAGGGCTTCTGATATCGTCATCATCGGGAATAGGAGGGTGTTATGAATATTATGTGCAAGTTCAAGATTAAAGGGATAGTTCACCAAAAAATGAAAATTAAGTAATTAATTACTCACCCCATGCTGTACCAACCCCGTAAGACCTTCGTTCGTCTTCGGAACACAAATGAAGATATTTTTGATTCAGTTTGAGAGGTGGATCACTGCTACATAGGATGCCTGAGGGATTGAAACTTGATGGCCCAGAAAGTCAATGAAGAAAATGTTTAAATATTCCATGTGACAACAATGGCTCAAGTATAAGTTTATCAAGCGACAAGAATACTTTTAGTGCGAAAAAACAAACAAAAATAACGACTTTATTCGAGTATTCCTTTTCTTCCTTGTGGGCCTCAGACGAGAGTTCAAGAGATTTCCACGACGCATGCGCGAGAACTGAACTGAAGTAGTTGAAGGAGATCGCAATTCTCATGCATGCAGCCTATGTAGCAGTGATCCACCTCTCAAATTTAATCAAATTTAATAAAATATCTTCATTTGTGTTCTGAAGACGAACGAAGGTCTTACAGGGTTGGTACAGCATGGGGGTGAGTAATTAATGACTTAATTTTCATTTGTGGGTGAACTAACCCTTTAAGTCACATACCCTGAACTTTTGCAAAATAACAGGCTGACATTCACTCCGCATCCAATGAGGCATGCTTTAATTGAGGGATAAAAATGTTGGTATGTGTTCAGCACCTCAAATGCTTCATTAAAATGAATAGTTCACTTAAAAATGTTGAATTCTGTCATCATTTACTCATCCTCACATCTCCACATGTTCATTTTTGGGCGATATATCCCTTTAAATGTGGCAATGATGATCCAATGCTCTTAAAGTTGGAATAAAAAAATGCATAGAATTAAGTATAGCCCTACACTTCTTTTTTATAAATCTGTTAAACTCAAATGTCCATCACAATACAGAAGCAAACATCTATCGTTAAAAAAAGATGACGACTCATAAAGGGGCAGTTCACACAAAAATAACAGTTCAGTCATCATCTACTCACCCTCATGTCATTCCAAACCCATATGACTTTCTTCCCTCTGTGGAACACAAAATTAGATATTTAGCAAACTGTCCAAGCTACTCTTTTCCATACAATGAAATTGTAAAGAGATAATTGTGGTCATCATTCACATTCAATGTATGGAAGAGAGCAAGTTTTGCCAGTTAACTACTTCCATGGTTTCCATGGTAGCAAAACGCAAGTCATAGGGTTTGGAAAGACGTGCACACACTATAAGAATCACTTATTAGTTTGCATGAATGAGAAAAATTAAATATGTTAAATTAAAAAATATTTAGAATGGGTTTGAGGTCAAATTAATGGGCATACTGATGACAATCTGTGAAGAAAAAGTGTATTTATGCATATTTAAAATGTATATGGGAAAATAAAAAATTATGTACTTCTGGAAACTATAGTAAAATAACCTCTCTGTTCATGCTCTTCAAATAAGCTGTTGTCAGGATGTAATTTCAGCACGCTAGGGAAAATGTTCAATTAAACCAAGCACTCACTGTTTAAGATGAAATAGGCCTACCTTTTTAAAACAAAATTTTGTTTTTCATAAAATCCAATCAAGTAAAATAAAAATGATCCCAACAACTTGGGGTGCTTAAAAGCTTGCAGTGATAAAATAGTCCTTTCTGAGAAAATGGCATTAAGAGATTCAATAAAAACCTTTACATATTTCTCACAAATGAGATGATACGAAAACTTTCAATTGAGTTAAACCTGATTTCCATTTCATATCAATACAAAGTACTTGCATAAAACAGTGTGAGTCGGAACGGCTGACAGGACACATATATGCACCAACCTATAATATTACATACTAAGATATTTTGATATTTTACTTAGATACTTTGATAAAGGAAGATATTTTAAAGAACGATTGGAACCAAACAGTTGTTTGGCACCATTGACTTCCATAGTAGAAAAAAATACTATGGAAGTCAATGGTGCCAAAGTTCCAATTGTTCTTCACAATATCTTCCTTTGTGTTCATCAGAAGAAAGAAATTATACAGGTTTGCAACAACTTGAAAGTGAGTAAATGATGACAGAATTTTCATTTTTGGGTGGAGTATCCCTTTAAGATATCTCAGGACAATCTAAAGCAAACATAGGCTATGTTTTTTGACAGCAGTCAGTGTAAATATGCAGCATTTTAAGACCACACACACAAAGAGTCAAGCATTTCAGAAAGAACTAGAAAAGGTTGTGTAAATGCATCTCACTATGTGGTGTAATTCTCAAGCCATTATTTTCACGGCTCATAGACTATAATGGCCCTGCGCTGCTATGGGTTTTTTCTTATCGGCATGTGCTGTTTGTTCTGCAACTCTTTCAACGAATGCATGAAAGTAACACTCTTACCGATTGTGGAAATGTGAGAGGGATGAAATTCATTGTCCGTGAATCTGCATAATAAACAGGTTTTGCCGACACCGGAGTCTCCGAGAAGCAGAAGTCTAAACAGCACATCATACTGTTTGGCCATGGTGTCTTATGGTCACAATTACAGGAACTCAGCGTCGGGTTTCCATGTCCACCCTCTTCAAAGTATCATCTTCTCGCCTTTTCCATCAACCGGTCCGTGCCGAATGACTGTGTAGATAAAGCAGTAGTCGATGTAAGCAGAAACCAGTCAGTAACGCTGCTGTCTGTGGTGGGTGCGGTGGGCTACAATAGCTATGCTCTCTGGACGTTTCACCGACATCCTTCACACCTCAGGAAATGGGTGGAGATAACGGGCACACACACAGCATCATGCTTTTGTAAATGTACCTCGTTTTTTTTATATATATATACCAAGACGGCGTTCAGAAAAATCATTTAGCCTATAATAATTTACAACCTAATTATAGCCTAAATAATATAAACGGCGGCATAACTTTCAATCTGGAATATAAGCATTTCAGTCATAAATTCATAGTAAATCCGTTTTTCTGTTGACAACCAAAATATATTGACCACGTCAAAGGAGTAAATCTACATGGGGATGATGATGGCTTGTTATAATTAGCGATGGCCGATTTGTGACCTCATAGTTCTGTAGAGTCGAATCTGTCCATGAATCAACTGAGTCGGTTCACAAAACCGGACTGAATAATTTGTTCACGATTTTTTGAGACACTTTAGACAACATAGAGTTGGCTTAAATGTATTATTCTATTAAAACTTTCAAACATGTTTTCAGCCAGAAGATGTAAATTAATTTTAGTATCTTTTAATGTAAATATAAGTTATATTTAGGACTCAAAATACCTGTTTGAGCCGAATCATGGTCACTAAAATTAAATCAGCAAAAACTAATAATCAGCAATATGTTTATAAGTATTACTTTAAAAATTATACTGTACACTCATTCAGGACAATCTTCAAAACTTTACATGGTAGATATAAAACACATGAAAAAAACACTCATTCATTAGCAATTAACACAAAATTGAATATAAAATAAAATAAATAGCCTACACTTACACAAAGACACGGTTTAAACAATTATAGCCAATTCATGATAAAAAAAATAAAATAAATCGATGTCACGCAAAGATGTTTTATATTTATTCTTTTACGCCATGATCGAAATACGCATCACTGGATCTTTTATGAATTGTTTCTTTGTGTATTTTTATTTATTTATTCATTTATTTTACTTAAATGAAAAAATTGTAAAGCATGGATATGTTTGTGTGTGTATATGTCTGTCTATATATATATATATATATTTGTTGTTTTATTTTTGATGCTTATATTATATTATATGAGAAATGTGTTAACCTTTTTATTTCTGTTTGGGGTTTGAAAGTATCTGACTAATTTTTGTAATTTACAATGAAAAAAAAAAAACGTTTCTTTGTAATGAACTGTTTGAGAGAACCGTCTCGCAAATCTTCGCTTCAATACCGCTTCTCAAATGTGCCTTCATGCTTCCCGTACTTGAGTTCCTAAGTCACTTGCCTCCATTGAGTAAACCCCGCCCACGCTGTCTTGACATTTGCTATGCTGGAAAACTGTTCCCTGTCTATTCCAGTGCATGTTTTCAAACCTCATCATGGAAGAGTCGTCTCCACCTCTGCGATGCTTTCATGAATCACACATCTCTGAGCTTTTCAACGATGACGGCGTGCAAACGGTGACTTCAAAAGAACAGGTGGGCTTAACTCTTAGTATTAGTTAGCTAATTGGTGCTAGCACAGAGCTAACTGTATATTTACTCTGCTTTTGTGCTTCACATTGTGCTAAAAGATACAGTAGTGCTGCTAGTGTATACCGAAAATCCTGCGGTGTGTTCTGCACGTGCAGAATATAATTATACTAATAACATGGCGTCACCCATTACGTGTTCCTCTAGTTCTGTTACAATGCTGTAAATAATATTTATTTAAAAGATTAGCTGACCAAAAACTGATATTTTGTCATCATTGTTGGAAAATACAACATGAGAGAGTGTAAATAATGACAGACTTGTCATGTTTGAGTGAACTATCCCTTTATAAACGTTTTTGAACATTGCCCTGTCAGGAACAATGGTATATTTTACCACTATGAGAATGTGCTGCTGATACTTCACTGGTTTATGTTATGTTGTACTGTAATGTATGATCTGCATTATTATCATATGGGTGGTTGACAGTTAACTATGAAAAGTTATAAAGTGAAAGATGATATTTACATATTTACTAATACAAGGAACATTTGCTTCAAAGACTTTTGAAATTATGCATGCATTAAAATTATATTGTACTTTTTATAACATACATAATACAATTATATAATTACATAAGGATTAATTATTATTATTTTACCTCAGAATTTTCAATCACTGGTAGAGATTCCAGTACACACTACTAAATCATACTATGATTTTCAAAATAAATTAAGCCAGTTGACCATTTTTGTGTCTTTGAATGACACACTGAACAGGATGTGATGTCAGCCACTCATATGCGCACAGTCAGCATCAACCACAATGATCCTTCTGTTAGCATGTCATTTGGCTAGCTGTTGTTGTCACATTTTCTGTTTGGTTATTTCACCTCCACATTTTTGTTTCCTGTTTTATGATTGAATCCAGAGAAAAGTTGAATGCAGTATTCAAGAGGTATACAGTGTTTACCAACAAATTCACACCTCACCACAGTAAGTAAAGTTCAGCCTTTTCTGGCCATTAATACAAAGGATCTCCACAATATTGAGTTTCAATGTGCTGCTTTTGGACTGCAAAGTACATATTTTGTGTGTGACGATGTCTTTGTTTGGCAGCAAAACCAACATCAGATTGTCCACTGCTTGTGTCTGCTGTGTATGTTTTGTAGCACTCTTTTTTTCCACCCATTTGTATTACTTTGTAGCAGCATCACATCATATGCAGGAAAACCTAAAGTCTATATATACTAGTGAAATTCGCCTCGCGTACAGCTAATTTTCTCCTCCTTCCACCACAGCATGACGTCTGTGTATTTCAGAACTTATTTCCTCTATACTGAGTGCACTTTCAGATGAAATAAGACACCTAGCCAGATGTGATTAAAACTGATGTAATCAGACTGCAAGAAAAAAGTTGTGTAACTTAATCATTTAGAAGACATGCTGTAGTTAGTAGCACATCAGCTGTTCTTGCACATATCCAGATGGTACATTTTGTTTTGTTGTCATATTTACAGCTTTTTAATTTTACACTAAGAAAACACACTCGTAGGTGCTACAGACATTCATTTGGGGAATTCAATCAGATGATTCCATGCTTACCATTTATTGCGCGTAATATTAATATGATGACATGAGGTTATTGTGGTGCAGAAAACGGTGAATCATTTTTTACATGAATAATTAAGTAATAATTACATGCACTACTGCTTCAAGGTCAGTAGGATTAAGTAAATGAATACTTAATGCATCAGGAGTCATTCAATTTATCATTATTCACAGTAAAGACATTCACAATGTAAACAAAGTAAATGCTGTTTTTTTTAAAAATTTTCTATCAAACAATCCTAAAAAATTATTTTTTCCCTTCTAAATATTAAGCAGCACTGATAATAATATAAGCTGTTTCTTTTGCACCAAATCAGCTTAATAGAATGATTTTTATCATGTAACTGAAGAAAAAAATGAAAAAATAAGAGTTGATTTAAATAGTTTACATCCACACACTGTCAATTAAGTTATAGTTCATTTCAAGCATGAAAGGACAAATTAATTTTCCCGCGAGGGAAACAACACATTAACTTCAGCATTACTTCTCATGAAACTTGCCTGTTGAAGAAGGCCATAAGTTGCTCTAATCAACTTGTCACAATGTAATGAATGCAATGTTTTTTTGGCTCAGATCAAGGGTTAAGGATCTGTTCTCTCAGCTGAGGTACCCTCAAATTAGGCATGCCCCGGCACCTCTGCGGCCAGCACTGAAGTCAAGCGTACTGTGTGTAGGCTGTGTTCTGACTCACTGACTCTATCATTTTAACACTAACGCTTCCTTTGATGGGGATAATTGGAGGATGTCAGCTCAGTGTGAACTTGCTCTGTACAAATAAGTTGTTGCCTTTTAGTGAGCTACTGTAAATCTTTGAAAAGTTGAAATTGATCTTTTGCCACGTTGTGAATAAGGAGATCATTTAATGTAAAAATTATTTAGAACATAATTTGCAATAGCTAGATTCTAATAAGATGGTTAAATAGATAACTCTACACTTTTTTTTTTTTTTCAGGCCCGCTTTACTGAGGGAACAACACTATCATTATCTGAAGAAAGGGTTACGCCATCTATCTGACACATATGAGGTAAACAATGTCTTGTTGTGAAATGTCAATGTCTTGAAAAGAAAAATAGTTCACCCAAAAAAGAAAATTCTGTCTTTATTTACTCACCCTCAAAATAGAATCCCTGCACTTTTTTTTCGGTGCGTAGATCCATAAAAATATCAATACCTTCAAATAAAAAAACAAAATATCCGCTCTCGCTATTTTACTTTATTTTATTAAATACATAATTTAACATCTACAGATATTGACATTATTATTGTTTCATTCTGCTTTATGAACTCTGGTTGATAATAATGAGAATAACCACAACTTATGTTTATTTTATTGATGGATATGGTACCCAAAACTTAAGCAAATAATATTTTCATGGCAAGACAATATTTTAATTGAGCAGCTTAGATATTCTGCTAAATAGCTAATTTTTGGGTATACTTTAAAAAGTATGTCATACAGGTTTAAAATGACATAAGGGCGTGTAATTGATGACATAATTTTTATTTTTGGTTGAAATACCCTTTTAACAGCTTAGTTAAAAAAAAAAGTTGTTTAGTTTTGTTGTTAACACAAACACAGAAAATGAGTTTTACACAAGGCCATTTAGCATCCACAGACCTGCTCATTTAAGACTATGTGATGCATTATTTGTGTCTGTGAGTGTGCGGGAGAGAGAGAGAACACCATGCTTCTAGTTTTTGTGTATTTGTACGGGAACACCATGTTCCTGAGCAGCTCTGTGTGTAAGAGTGCTGGTAATGGATGCTAAATCTGCATGTTGTCTGGCTTCAGTGTTTGGATGCCAGCCGGCCTTGGCTCTGCTATTGGATCCTGCATAGTCTGGAGCTGCTAGAGGAGCCTGTGCCGCCAGCTGTTACCTCTGAGTGAGTACCAGCCCTTCTCTGCACATCATTATCAGTGTACACATGGCATGGAGGGAGGCAGGTGTTTAGGTCCCCTTACCCAGTTACTATCCTACAGATAATGTCAAAGTTACATCAAGCTGTGACACAGATGCTTGCTTTCTCAATGCAAACTGCTGCTGGGGTTAACCTTTATATCATAGGTGGTTATTACTTTGAAACTGGAAATAAATAAAAATATTTTATTCAAGTGACTGTGTTAAAGAGGTGAATTCATAAGTAGTAGTGTATTATATTTTGTTGTTATTTCTGTGTACCTTAATGTTTGTTAATTCAAGCTTTTTCATTTGCCGTTTTTGCATTTAGATTACCCTCACCATCATCTTTAAAAACACTCTATTTCTAAATGAAAATTAATTTCTCCTACTGTACATTACAATTTTGTTGTGTCTACATTTAATTGTAGCATTTCAAAGGACTGATTTTAGGTTTTGTTTCCATCTTATACTAAATAGATTTCTAATATCTGCCATTTATCGGCTGTTGTTCATAACATGAAAATAAATGAAAGTGATTTCTCTAGTGAATTTCTGGCTTTTTGTGTACATTTTTATTAGGGCTGTCAAACGATTAATCGCATCCAAAATAAAGTTTGTGTTTACATAATATATGTGGGTGCACTGTGTATAATTATTATTTATATAAATACACACACATGCTTGTATATATTTAAGAAATATTTCCATGTATATACTGTGTATAGATTTATTTATGTTATATATAAATATAAATATTTTAGATATAAATATTTTTTTCAATATACATGCATGTGTGTGTATTTATATTTCTATATATACAAAATAATTATACACAGTGCACCCACATATAATATGTAAACACCAACTTTTATTTTGGATGTGATTAATCGCTTGACAGCCCTAATTTTTAGTTCTTCTCATTCATTTACATACCTGTTGATGTAAATATATCACAACCTTGAATGTTGTCTGTTAGTGTGTGCCAGTTTCTGGCCAGATGTCAGAGCCCGACGGGTGGCTTTGGTGGAGGTCCGGGTCAGCACTCTCACCTGGCACCCACCTATGCGGCTGTCAACGCCCTTTGCATTCTGGGTACAGAGGAGGCATACAAAGTCATCAACAGGTTTCACGTTTGCTTCATATTATCGTCTGTTTACCTTCACATGTTGTGTGGATCATATTGCCATAGTAGCACATTCTGTCTGCCCCCTCCCCCATCAGAGAGAAGCTCCTGGACTTCCTGTACTCTGTGAGGCAGCCAGATGGCTCCTTTGTGATGCATGTGGGTGGGGAGGTGGACGTCAGGTGAGTTCTGTCTCTGTGCTTTCAACATACCCTGAAGCATCTTTATAACACCCATACATTTTTTTTATTCTCCCTGTGGTGATGTTACTATACTGAGGGATTCTTTAGGAGTGACCTTTAATTGTTGCCAACAGACAGATTAGTGCTATTAAAAGTGATTTATGTTCAACAAAGGTTAGCGCTGATCCTACAGACTTTCAGTCTTATTCTAATAATGTAACTTGTGGTTGTTGACATGCATAGTTATGATCAGTGTCTGCCTGTTTGTGTCTGATCTGATAGGAGTGCATATTGTGCAGCTTCTGTGGCTTCACTCACTAATATCATCACTCCCACCTTGTTTAATGAGACGCACACTTGGATACTCAGGTAATTACTTCCACATTCACTTTCATTCAGATTGTGTTAGGGTCAGTGTTATTTTAGGATTATTTATATACTATTATAGGATTTATTAATGCTTTGAATTAGCTTTTATTTTTATATTTTACATTTCGTTTTGTTACTTTTATTTGGGTTTTTTTTATATTTCTATTTAGATTTGATTTCATTTTGGATTTTCATTTTAGTACTTTAACTTATTTTTTTCAGTTAGTTGTTTAAATTTTTCATATATTTATATCAGCAAGTATAAAGAAGTTCAACTTTTTAAGAATGCATCTCCAGACCATTTCCCCCCCATTCCTCTGCCATGTGTCTCACAGTTTAGGCAAAAACAAACATTTAAAACATTTTCCTCTCTGTCCCGAAAAGAGTTAAATCTCAGCACAATATATTTCTGAGAATGAATCCCATAAATACTAAGATGTTGTGCTTTCCTTTGAACCGCAGCTGTCAGAACTGGGAGGGCGGTTTAGGTGGAGTGCCAGGACTTGAGGCACATGGTGGCTACACCTTCTGTGGTACTGCTGCCCTAGTCATACTGGGCAAAGAACACATGCTGGATCTCAAAGCCTTGTTAGTAAGTCCTTTGTCTTGCCTTGTTTTGTTTTGTCTACACTTCCACCTTTGATTCAACCTGGCTCTTCCTGTCCATTAGAGTGAATAAACTGAGGTTCATGAGATGCGTTAAAGGTCAGTTGTGTGTATCCTGAACTTAGGAGGAGAAGCATCTCATTACTGGTCCCTCAGGGACACTAAACATGCTTGGATATATTAACATCAGTGTGCCGCAATGTTGTATATGCTTAGATCAGCAGATATTCATGGTCTTTGGCAGACATTAAAATTAGGGTGTTTTACAGTCCCAGGGCACAGACAGATTTCTCTGGACGATAAGGCAGCAGCACTAATGATATTCATGCTGATTCTTGTAAACCTGTAAATTGGAGGCTTTTCACTCTTTTTCCTTCATTAGCGCTGGGTAACCAGCAGACAAATGCGTTTTGAAGGTGGATTTCAAGGCCGCTGTAACAAGCTGGTGGATGGGTGTTACTCCTTCTGGCAAGCAGGACTATTACCATTACTCCACAGGGCTCTTTTTAAAGAAGGTGAAAACATAAAATATTGAGATAATCAAGCGATTGAAAATACTACAAGGTTCTTTGTGTTTTTCCCCCATGTATTTTGTGTCAAAATATAAACTCAAGATGGATATTTTGGGGTCTAATGTCATGTATAGTAATTTAACCTATGAAGACAATATTACTGTGTGTATATAGGAGACTCAACGCTGAGTTTGAGTAGCTGGATGTTTGAGAGAAAGGCCCTGCAGGAATACATCCTCCTCTGCTGCCAGAATCCTGCTGGAGGCCTTCTGGACAAACCGGGCAAGTGAGTACAGCTCGTACACACACAAATATAAAATAGTCTCTAAGCTTGTAATAATATCACCAGTAATGTGTCAAATAAAACTGATTCCAAGGCCTCCCATTGTCCCCAAAAATATTTGAATGCCTCATAACTTTTACAGTTGGTTGTGATTTACTGGATAAGGATTTTTACAAATATTTTTTACTTACAATTTCTACCAATAAAATATGTTAAGAACTTGGCATGACATGAAGAATTCATAAATGTAGTTAGATAATGTTCTTGTCTAGAGTTTGTGTGGAGCAAAACTTTGCACGTTGTGAGTGAATCATTCTTTTGAATGGATTCTTTTCAATAAAGCGGTTCACAAACTAGTCTGAATGATTAGTTAGCGAATCTGATTTTGTACGTGTTCTTTTCAAGTAACTAACAAAGAGAAATACGTCTAGCTGGAAAGGTCATAAAAATCTGTTGGCCTGTTACAGGCCATTACATCTATTTTGTTTAACTGTAAGAATCAAAGTTTAATTAAAATGTGAAAAATGCAACTGTATATAATTTTGTCCTTTTACTAACTATACAGACCAAACCAGAGTTTCATTGTAGTTGATCATTCATTCCCTACAGGTCTAGAGATTTCTACCACACATGCTACTGTCTGAGTGGACTCTCAATTGCACAGCATTTCGGAAACAAAGACCTCCATAATGAGCTGATCCTCGGTCGAGACGAGAACAGGCTGGTAAGAGATATATTAAAAATTCAGTTTAGCCCAGCCACATTGAGAATAATGAATTAAAGTGTTCGTTCACCCCAAAATGAAACTTCTGTCAGTAATTACTCACCCTCATGTTGTTCCAAACACAAATTTAGATATTTATGATTAAATCTGAGAGCTGGATCACTCCTCCATAGGCTTCTAAGGGATCGAAACTTGCCGGCCCAGAAAAGTTATTAAAGACATCGTTCAAGTAGTCCAAGTGGCTACAGTGGCTCAATCTTTAAGTTTATCAAGCAACGAGAATGTTTTTTGTGCACAAAAAGTATTCTCGTCACTTGATAAACTTAAGGTTGAAGCACTGTTTCCACTGAATTTTCATCTTGGGGTGAACTAACCCTTTAATATAACTAAATGTTCTCATATTTCTTCTTTTCAGGCACCAACTCATCCAGTTTACAACATCTGTCCAGAGAAGGTCTGCCAGGCGATTCAACATTTCCACACGTTACCTGTTCCACTTCAGACGGGAGCTACAGCAAATGAGATGGAACAGTCATAGACTTTTCTCTTTTTTTTTTTTAATTGTAAAATGTTTGGGGATTTGATCTAGCTTGACCTAACGCAGAGACTTCTTCTGTAAATGCTGTAGCCAAATGTCCTTTGCTGGTCTGTAAGCATCTACAGGTGGGGAAACACTCCGCGGGCCTGACATACTACAGCTTCAGCATGGGGTTGTAGGTTTTAGCTAGGGACAATGGTAGAGACTGACTAGGCAAGGTGTTTTTCATGCACCAGTCATTGATATTTTATTGCACATACCAGCTTATTTTGGGCTTTTGCAAACGTTTCCCAAAGTGCATGTGGCAGTAGGTTCTGGACCGAAATAAAGACTTGGATGAAGGTGTGTTTTTATTTTTCGGTTGGTGTATTATCTATATTCACCATGGGCAATCCATTATTTGACTTTTATTTCTGTCATCTCTAATTAATGAGTGCTATTTGACATAAAACAAAAAACTGTCAAATATATGGAAATAGTCTTGGTACAACAAGCTCTCAGCTACTCAGTCATGAGTACAGCGTTTACATTTTGTAATTTTTTTGTCACCTTTGCTGTTTAATGAGCATTACAATTGTTTTCAATAATTCAATCATCATACTTTTAATCTGAATATGCTGGTATGAAGTATCAAAACAGAATGGCATTTCATCTTATTACATTAAAGGACCAGTTTGTCCAGTTTGTTTACCCACTCTCATGTCTTTTCAAACCGTATGACTTTTTTTTTTTGTGGGACAGCATGATGACATTGGTGTCCATCAATTAAAGTGAATGAGGAATGAGGCTGGTTTTGTGTGTGTGCATTAATGTATTTTATTCCATAAATGTCTAATCGAAATTTGTTTATTCAAATAGTATTAAGGCCATTCACATCTTTTGATGTGTACCTTTGACTATGCAGAAAAATTAATGAGATTTAAGAGCTATGAAAGAGAAAATTGTCAATGAATAATGTAAATTTTCAATTATTGCTTACACAAAGCTGTTTAATGCCTTCAGAAAACCTTTGAAAACCTTTAATAATATCGACCACTGTTTTTAATCTTAACATGGATTTATTAAAAATGATCCGACCTTAAATCATACAGGTTTGAACTATGAGGGAGAGTAAATGATCTGGGGGGGGAAAACAATACATTCATGAATATAAATTTTCAAAGCTATGCCATGCGTTTGCAAACATTTATGGCCATTATAACATTGATGCACACCAGTAATGTTTTTAGCTAAGGCACATTTAAAAGAACTACTTAAGTTAAATGTCTTAATTTAACTAGTGAATAATCCTGGCTTAAACCTGGGACACACGACCGTGAGGCCGATTATGATTGTAATTTGATACTTCAGTCCCTCCAGAAAAACGCGATTATGCGATCGCTGAATTCAATGCAAAATCAGCCAAAGTCCGCATATTTATGCGGGGGCCGCATTTTTTCAAATACGCCGCACTTTCGCCGCATAAATTGCCGATTTCCTTGCAAAATATGCGGGGTTTGCATAATTTCATAATCCTCGCATTTTCGTTGCAAAACAAAAGTCACATGTATTTTAGCAGAAAGTTAAAAAATGTTCCGTTTGCTTCACACAAGAGCAGCCATTTCCCCCTGTTTCCATGGGAACGTTATGAAGTGACGCAATTAGGCGACGCCGGACAAACTCACGGAGGCGATTGACATCTCACAAATCGAACTCGTATATCTGTCTGTCACACGTTCTACCGTCACATCGTTACTTGATAAACAACATAAGATGATCATGCTCAAACGCGGTGAGTCAGAGACAGTTACGTTCAGTCAGTGTTTAGCCTACTGTAAAATCTGCTCCAGTCCTCGGAAACAGTCTGTGTGTTCACTGTTCAGTAGGGTTGGGTATCGTTTGAATTTGAACGATTCAGATTCCGATTGCGATTCCTTGTTTCGATTCCGGTTCCTAACGATTCTCGATTCCGATTCTTTTAAGAG